GCATAACCCATACAAAAAGCTTTTCCAGCTATGGTTACTGGTGTAGAATGACCATAGCCTAAAAAAAAAAGTTAATAATTTTTTTAAGTATGTTTTCAAACAAAGAAAAGTCTTATACAAGTTCATAACAAACATTTTATCTGTTTGTTCTACGACAAGAATTGTTATTAAACATTTTTTTAAATAAATTTATTAAGACTGCAATAGTAAGTTCATACATCTACAACTTAATAATAATAAATAATTTTAACAATTAATTACCTATCATGGCAAGAACAACAGTTGCAAAATAAAATGCTCCTGTGAATTTCCATTGGGGACCAGCTTTATGAGGTTTGCTTTCAATAATGATCACTTCTACCATTTTATAATCTTCATCAGAGATTTTGTATTTTCTTTTTAAATTATCTCTTACTTCTGATTTAAAAAAAGAAAAATTTCCTTTGTTAATTTGTAGAAAAATTAATTTTAAACAATAAATCAAAAAGTATTTTTACCTTCTAAAAATTTCCCTCTTTTATATTCTGTTTCTGATTCTAATGCATCAAAAACAGCAGCCCCTATCAAAAGATATGTAAATGTGCACACCACCAAACTGAGAGTTCTTACATTTTGTCTTTTCATGATTATTACAATAATTTAAAATTTCTCTACAACTATTCCTCAAAATGTATCTTCATGCTTTATAAAAAAAAATTTCATAAATACAAATATTTAAATAAAATAATATTTTAATTTCACATTGCTGAATATTTGTTGTGTACCCATGATTCCCATGAGCTTATCTGAAAACTTAACTTTGTTTTTAAGTTGAAAGTATTGATTTTTTATTTGGCGCGCACAAAAAATTTACGCTCCTAAGCATTTAAAAATAAGTTTTCTCATTAATGGCGCGAAATGGTAATATTTTTCATTTAACTTGTCGTTTTTTTTTTATTTATTGAGATTTTGTTACTTTCATTTAAAGTTTTTTTTTTTTTTTTTAAATTATTATTTAAAATTAATTATTTTTACATGAGTATCATTATTTTAAATTACAAATTTTTAAAATTTCATTTATAACTAAACAAATTATTATATTTGAAAATAATTTTATAAAAAAATAATAATTAATTTAATAATAATAAAAAACTTAACATTATATTTAAAGGGGTTTTTATTTTACATAAATGCATTTAAAAATATATATAAAAACTTTATAATTTTAAATATTAATTAAAATCTGAAATTTCGATTTTTGTTCTTTCGGAAAAATTTTAAATGCAAAACTTAAAATTATTTGTTTCCATTAAAGTTTCATACAAATAAACATACATAAAATTAATATCTGTGTAAATTACCATATGGAATAATATTGAGATGTAAAAAAGTAATTATTCCACTATATTTTCTTTCTTTTCTTTATATAAATACAAAACGAGGAATTCCTGAATATTTAGTATTATTCGTTTAAAAAAAAAAAAAACTAGCTTTGATGCTGAATCAAATTTAATTGCTTTTCAAAATATTCTGCTTTAAATGTTCCTTCAATTGCTTCACAACCAGTATTAAAAACAGAATATGCACTAACTTCTCCTTTCATTTTAGGTCCTGTTCTGGTATTAAAATATACAAATATTAATCCAGACATTACAAAATAAACAAATCCAAATTCTATTTGAATAGCTATCAAGTACAAAACAATCCAGAGAATGAAATACAGGCAGTATAAAGTGACAGTGAAATGAGAATTTGTTGGTAATAAATTTAATATTTTACAATCAAATTTTTTTAAATAATCCTAAAAAAATTTATTTATTAATTAAAAAAATAATTAAATGTTATATAAATAAGTTATAAAACTGTAAAATAAGTTATCTTACCATAAAACGACATTGATATATTTCTAAAATAATTGAAATATTATTTATTATATTTTGAAAAAAATTTTTAAGTCTTATTAAAATTAAATCTTTTTTTCTTTGACTTCTAAATTCCTTTAATTTCTTTTCCATTTTAATTATTTACACTGTAAATTGTAAAATAAATTATTTAATTAGAATTAGAACATTAAAACTGAGTACAATCCGCCATTGTTATTCAACATTTGACGTGGCACTATCGTTGATACGTGCACGCAATCAAAATGTAAACAAAAATTTAAATGCATCATTTTAGACAATTAACAAGAAAAAAATTATAATTTTTTAAATATCTTATTCTAAAGTCCGAAAAAAAATTACAGAATAGTTAAAAACAATTCAATAAATAATTTACGATTAAAAATTTGATAAATTTACGAATTAAAAAAAGAGCTAATTTTCCAATTCACCAAAAATTGATAATTTAATGGTAATACTTATTAAGTTTCTAAATTTATTTTCCTAATATTTTCAAGGTTTTTTAAAATTACCTTTTTATTAAATAAAATTAAATAAATAAATATTCTTGTAATAACTAAAAAATTTATATTATTTCTACAAAAATATTAAAAAATAATCTAAAAATAAAAATATAAGAAAAAAATAAAACAAAGTTCTAACTATGAAAAATAAAAGAACCCTCTATAAAAAAAAATTATAAATTAAAATATTTAAATTGTTTGTGATATTAAATATTAACAAGTATAATCATACTTATAATAATAATAATATTGATGAATACCTTCATTATAAATATTTGAGCATTAAATCTTGGAAAAAACTAAACATATTATTATTATGTTTAAAAAATCATTAAAATAAATGTAAATTATATAGTACACAGTATACACTGTATATATATTATATCAAAATATATAACCCTAGCAAATAATGTAAAAAGTTTAGCTGCATGCCCAAAATCTTAAACAAAATTCCTACATTTTATTTTGCTTTTGCGATAAATGAGTGATAAATAAGTTCAGTCGTAAATAAACAAGTTTCTTAACATATCGTAATTTCGAATTTAACAAGTTATCAGTGTTACATAAAATTGGTGTTTTCATATTGGATTCACTTAAATAAAAATTACAACTGCTTCATTTGCTTAAAATTAACATAAACTAGAGTTTTATAAAGTAAATGGAAAAAAATTACTGGCATCGGACATGTAAATCATATTTATTTACTACCCTGTCATCAGAAACGGAATCGCTATTGAAAAAAATCGACAAATAGTTATTTTTAAACTTTTCAAATATGAATGATTTATGTATAATAAAACTATATATTTCCTTATAAATATAAATATAAAAATGATAAAATATTAAAGTAAAAAATTCGTGACTTCATTTTTTTTGTTTTTTTTTGTATTACCTTTTATGGAACTTCTTTGAAGAATCCTTTGAGTGATCCAATAATAATTGACATGGCTTAAAAGATTCACCATAAAGAGCCGCATATTTTTCCATTTGGCTAACGAATTTGTCACATCCGTATGTATCCAACCATCGGAAGGGACCTCCCGTAAAGGGTGGAAAGCCTAATCCAAAAACTGCACCAATATCTCCTTCAGTCTAAATTAATTACAATAAATTAAGTAATCATATAAATAAAAAAGTCCCTTATTTTTTTTTAAGATTAAGTATAAAAATAAATAAGCATACCGGGTTATCTAGAATATTTTCTTGAAGGCACAGAACGGCTTCATTAACAAAACGACCTACTAATCTCATTTGACTATCTTCATCTACTAAAGGTGCTGGAGGAGTCGTTTTGTATTTTTCTAATATAGTAACAGCATCTGAATTCACAGGTTTTACTTTTTGTCCAGTTCCATAAACAAAACATCCTTTCCCTGATTTCCTACCTAAAAACAATATCATCCAGCGTGAGTTCATTTTTTAACTGACATTACAAAAAATATACATAAAAATAAATTAAAGTTTTCATTATTGATTTCCAATGACTGAAAAAAAATTTTATTTAAAATAATAAATTTATACCCAAAAATCCAGCATTGACCAAATCTTTCAAAATGTTTGGATCACCTCCTCCGAATCGTGTACCAAAAGCTTTGCTTAAATCAACAGCAATGTGGCTGGCAACATCTATACCAACTTCATCGACCAACGTAGAACAACCTACAGGAAATCCAAATTTTTCAGTCAGTTTATCTAGTGATACTACATCAACTCCTTCCTGTAAAAAAAAAATAAATTTAATAATTTTTAACTTCCCTTAATAGACTTAAAATATTTACTAGATATAAATTTTGTTAAAAATACTTTAAAGATTTAATAATAACCTGTAAAAGCCGAAGAGCTTCCGCCAACATTGCACTCAAAATTCTTGTCGTATAAAATCCAGGACCATCACCTACTACAATAACTAATTTTTTTTGCCGCAGGCCCACATCAACAGCTACAGCACACGTGTCTTTTGATGTTTGTTTGGTTGCTATAATTTCCAGTAGCATCATTTTATCAACGGGAGAAAAGTAATGCATACCTATAACCTAAGTAAAAAAATATTACTTTAATTAATTTTGTTTAAATTTAAAATTAGACAAATGCAACATGACAATTATTAACCGATTAATTTATTATTTTTAAAGGAAAAAAAACTCACTTTAGACGGATTCCTACTGCCTTCAGCAACTTTGCTGATAGGAATAGCACTGGTATTGGTGGCGATAACGCAATGAGGAGGCACCACAGCTTCGATTTCTTTAATAACTTTGTGTTTAATATTTAAGTCTTCAAATACAGCTTCTACTATACAATCTACGTCTTTTAATCTGTCGTAAGAAAGAGTAGGGTAAAGATGACTCAAATACAAGGCGCGATCCATTCTAAAAAAAAAAAAAAAAAAAAGAGAGTTAATTTGAAATTTATTATTTTGATAAATAGTAATAATTCGAAAAACTTTATCTTACGTAGACAATTGTTTTCTTTTCACAGCAGTTGCAAAATTTTTTTGTATTTGTGCCAAACCTCGTTGCAATCCACTTTCATTAACATCTTTCATGACGCAAGGAATTTTTTTATTTACCGTAACTTGTGCTATACCTGCTCCCATCAGACCGGAACCAATTACCGCTATAGAGCTATAAATGTTAAAAACAATATATAAACAGCACGATAAAAAAGCCATAAATATTTATTTTAAAAAATTCAAATTAAGTAAAGTTAAACTGACTTTGCTTCTTTTTGAGGAGCTCCAAATCGATTTTTCTCACAAGCTTTCATTCCGTAATAAAGTCCAATTAAACCTTTTGATTGTGGGGTCATGGCCAATTCTCCAAAAGCTTCGGCTTCTGCTTGAAATCCTTCTTCAGGATTTTCTACACCTTTTTTAATAACCTAAAAAAATTGAGATTGTTTTTTTTTTAAAATAAAATTAAAGTTAAAAGATTACTTTATTTTTACATTAATTAAAATAATTAATCATCGAATAATTTCTACTAAATAATTTTTAATATTTTAAATATTAGAAACCTTATTAAAAGATTTTCGAAAAGAATTTCATTAAAATCAGGGTTAACATGGCAACAACAAAAATATTCGGTTGATATATCTCTACCATTTTTGAAAAGGAATTAAAATGTTGACGGAATATTCTAATAACGTGTTATCCGAAAGTTATTAAAGCAAGTGCAAAAATAGTTTTCAAGTTTCCTGTTAAAAAAAATTTATTAATTGGATATACATTTAAATAAATTTATCACTGATAACGTAATAATTAGTATAAGCCATTGCGAAATAATTTTAAAGCATTATTTTTAATGGATCACAGTTTTCTTATAATAATTAAACTCACCTCTAAAGCTTTAAGAGGAGCTGGATAAAATCCTTTGGTTGCCTTTGTAATTTGTTCTCTAGCTTTATTAAAAATTAAATTTTTTACAAAACCTATTCCCATAACTGAATCGGTTAGTTTTTGAATGGTTCCTTTTTTGGATTCCCTATCCAGGCTTATTTCTCCAGATGCAATTTTTTTGGCAATGAAAACAGCTACTTCTTCCAAATACTCCAATGATCTAAATTTTTTTATAAATATCATTATTAAAAAAAGGAAATTTTTTTTTATCAATTTCTTTATAACTAAATTTTTAAATAATTGTGAAAAATCGTAACTGAAAATCTAATGTAAATATTTAAAAGATCAACATTAAAAAAATTCATGTAAATTTTATAAAATAACTTCTTGTTAATCAAAACTTTTAATTTTTGAAATTTGAAAAGTACCTGTCATTAGCTGGCTTAAGTCCAGGTCCTAGGGGCTTAACTACCATGTCAATCAATCCCATTTTTTTCGCTCTGTCAGCTCTCACTTCTTTGCCGCTTGAACACATTTCAATAGCATTAGGAAGTGAAACAAGCTTGGGCATTCTCTGAGTACCTCCTGCACCTGGTAATAACCCTAACTTGATTTCAGGTAACCCAAGTTTTGTAGATTTATCTGAGCATGTACATAAATAAAAAATTTTAATACATCTGTTTTTTTTTTTAAATTTTCTTTTGAACATTCGTAAATTTTTTTACCCATCATTGCTAGTCTATAATGACAAGCTAAGGCTACTTCTAATCCACCTCCTAAACAGGAACCTTTAATCGCAGCAATAAAAGGTTTCTTAGAGTCTTCAATGAGCTGTAAAATCTTTTGACCTGATTTTGAAATTTGCACTATTTCTTCCTTAGTTTTAGCAGCTGCTAACATATCTATGTCTGCTCCCGCTATGAATACATTTGGTTTCCCTACACAAAAAAAAAAAAAACTTACTTATTTGCTTATAAATAAATTTTAAAATAACACTAAAAACTTTATATTGCTTATTTATCAATTTTTAAATTTTATAATGATACCTGATATTAAAACCACTGATGAAATTGATGGATCATTTTGAACTGCAGGAATAAGTGACTGAAATTCTTCCATTACTTCGTTATTAAGAACATTCATTTTCGAGCCAACATTATCAATTGTTACAACATAAACATCATCTACTTTTTTTAATTTTAAGTGTTTGTTTTCTTTTGGGGCATTTGAAAATTTTCTGCTTATACCTAGAAAGAAAATAACAAGTTTTCATAAAATATTTAATTGCTATAATTGTTAATAAAACTAACATTTTATTGATGATATATATTTAATAAATCTAAGAATTAGAAAGAAAACTATAAAACAGTGTACTTATTATTATTGTTTTTCTATAAATACACTAATTTTTATGACAAAAATTCTTCATAAATGAGTTTTCAATGTAATTGATTGAAAACTTAACTTTTACCAAACCTGTACATTAAGTAAAGTATTACTAATACAATAACATGTACTTTGCCCCTAACACTCAATATCCGATATATAGAAAAAATTTAAGATTTTTAAAAATTAAAAATAATAAAATATGTCCCTTTTAATGTTTTTAATTTAGAGAAAATAAATAAATAAATAAATTTTTATAAATTTGAATTTTGTTAATAAAAAGTTTTAACAATTTTTATTTTTTTAATCCTTTTATAATAAATACCCAATAACAATTGATTAAAAAAAAAAAAATAGAAAAAATTTATTTTATTAAATTGATTATAGAAATATTAAGAAAAAAATTTTTTTTAAAATCGTAAAATACTTACCGGTGCATCTTAAAAACTTTGAATTAGACTTTGAAATTTGGCTAAATACACCTGACAATCTGACCAGCGCCATTTTGATATTTTAAATTAGAAAATTAGAACGGTTGTACTTGTAATCATAATAATATCCTTTAATAAAAAATAATTTTTTAATGGAATAAAAATAATAAATTAATATCGTAAAAATGTCTTTTCGATTTTAAAAACTTTAAATGTTATTTAAATTTTACATTTGTGTTGACTTTTTAATTAAAAAAAAAAAAAAAAAAACACTGATTTGTTTAGGAAATAATGATTACAACAATTTATAATAACAACCGAAATTCTTATCTTTTTTAAAATTCAATGCTTAACTTTAATTATTTATTATTTAATAAAATTATTTATTTATTTTCTGTACTAAAATTTTTAATCAAAATTAAAAAAATTTATTTCTTCGTATACTCCTCTAAAACTTTAATAAAATATTTTTTACATTTTAGTAATTTTTCTATAATAATTTTCCAATAAGTAGAGTATTAGTAGTAGTAAAAGATTAAAAAATAAAATTACAATAAATATAGTTTTGTTTAAAAAAAAAAAAAATAACATGATAAATAATAATAATAATTTTTATTATAATTTTAAATTGAAAAGCCTGAAAAAAAAAAAACAAACAAACTTAAATTTTATGTTTCCTTTTTTTCCAAAGTAATTTTTTTTTTTTTTTTTTTTTTTTTTAATATAAAGAAAAGCCCATTAAAGTTAAATTTAAATTATACATTAGTTATTTTATTTAAAAAAAAAAATTTTTTTAACGTGTAATTTTATGTATGTTAAATATTGATTAAACCTCATTGTATAATTTTTTTTTTTTTTTTCTATTGCGCCATTATTGAAAATTCAACCTCCATCTTTTAAATAATCGGAAAAATGAAAATATCGATTTTAAAATAGATGTCACTACTTCTCTGTGCGGGTAGAAAATACTGTTGTTTCACCCCCCCCGGAAAATCAGCAGTAGAGGAGAAAGAAAATGAAAAAAGCTTATTTTTCTCAGTGTCGGTGTCGACCTCACCCGGATGATTTTATATTTTTTTACTTTTTTTTTTTTATAGTGAACAAAAAAAAAAAAAAAAAAAAAAAAAAGTTTCGTCGTAATAATAAATTCATAAAAAATACCGTCGGACATATTTGTCAGAAAACGTACAACAACGTAATTCACACAGTAATTTTAATTTTTAATTATTATTATTATTATTATTATTGGAGGGGGGGCTTTTAATATATACACAAACGAGTTTAATTTTTGGTCCCCCCCCAAAAAATATACATATATATAATTCATATTGCAACAAATGACGCAATTATACTAAATTGTCAATTGATCTTCCGTCGGGAAGAAAGGTAAATTCATTTTATTTTTTAAATTTTGGATTTTATCGATTTTAAAATAATTTTTTTTTTTAAACACGGGGGGTATCATATTTTTTATAAATTAAATTATATTTAAAAATTTTAATTATTTCAAATCACGTGTTATGTGAAAATAGGGGGGCAAAAGGTATTCGACAATGATATAAATTTTAAGCCTTAAATACATACCACACATAATATTATTATATAATAACTTCATCATTTTGTTTATGTTTTATTTTTTTTACATAAATAGTTATTTAATTATTTAAACATATGCATAAAATAAAAAAAATTATTATTTACATTATGTGAAACCATAATAATAAAATTTTAAAAAGAAAAAAAAATTTAAATTATTTTAAAATTTTATAGAAAAAAAAAAAAAAAAATTTTTTTAAATTTGACGATTTTCTTTTATTTTTCCAGATATGGAAATATTGCCCGAGGGAAAAAATTTTCGTCTTGTTGGAAAAACGGAACTTCCAGAAGTATTAAACATTCTTGAAAAATATCTATTAGATTCTTTAAAGGTTAATTAATTATCATTATTATTTATTTTAGTAAATTCTTATTAACGATAATTAATATTAAAAATTAATTCCTTTATTGTTTTAATTTGATTATTTAAATCATTTTTTTAAACGTGAATATTATTAATACATAAGAAAATCATTTTCTTAAAAAAAAAAAATGTTTTTTTCTAAATTATTTTATTTAAACTAATTAAAAATTTATTTTATTTTAATAAATGAGTTCAAATTAACTTAAAAAATTGACAAGAAAAATTTGAATACATTTTTAGTCTTAAACCGCATTAAACATATTTATGAATGCATGTTTCTTTTTTTTTTTTTTTTCAAAACAAATAATAATAATAATAATTACAAAGTAGTAAATATTTAATTTTAACAGTTTCATCAAACGTTAAAAACATATTTAAAGGATTTTGTGTGGGAATTTCATTTTTATGTATCTAAGGATTGGCCAAATGATCCGATTTGCCTTCATTTTCCAGGAATGACTAATTCAGTAAGTTTTTTAAAAATAACATTAATAATTCCTTCCAAAAAAAAAAAATTATTTTTCATTGACAATTGAAAACAAAAAAAAAAAAAAAGTAAACATCATAAAAATTTGTATGATTTTTAAATTTAAAAAATTTTCTCAAAAACAGGAAAAGATTTTCCTTTTTTGTACCAGCGCATTTTTTTTTTTTTTTTGTTTTAGGCGATTATTTTAATTAATTAATTATGGTTTTTCCATTTGCTAAAATCCATTTTCCCATTTGTGCATGTAATTGATAGTTAAAAGCAATAAAATGATTTTTTAAATCCATTTTTTACCGTGTAAAAAAAAAAGTAACATTAAACCGGGAAAAAAAATATTTTTAATAATTATTTTAGATTTATATCGGTTGCTAAAACCTAACCAAATGAATAAATTGATAATTAATAAAAAAGAAAAAAATCAAAAAAAAAAAAAAATTAATTTACATATATAACTTATATTAAATCAAAATATGAATGTTTTTTTCCAAAAAAAAAAAACGGTTAAAAAAATAAATCTTTATAGAGAGTTTCTTTGTTAACAAAAAAAAATTTAAAGATTTTTTTTTTTTAAATATAAATTTTTCTTTTTTTACTTTAATAATCAAATCGATAAAATTACTATCCTGATATAATATAATAAGATATTAATAAAAAACCTTTTACTCTTGTATTGTGATGAGTTAATAAACATCATTAAATTATGTAAAAATTAAATAAAAAAAAAAAAGAGTAACAACATTTTTTATAAATATTTTTTAAAAATTAAATTTTTTTATACATAAATATAAATTTTAAATAATGTGTAATAAAATCAGCATTATTTAATACAATAATTAGTATAATTATATATGCAAACGATTATAAATTTTTTTATACAAAAAAATCCGCAGTGACTAATACAAATTAATTATATTCACGACGTCATTTTTTTTTTTTAAATTTAAATAAGCTCAATAATTTTCAAAAAAAACGCATTTTTTCCAACCTGGTAAATCAATAATATATTAAAAAAAAAAAAATATGTGCATATATAATTAATATTTTATTTAAATTTTTAACAAAATAATGTTTTCAATTCAAGCTACCTGTTGCATCATTGCAGAGTTTAATAAAATTATTTTGTTTTTTTTTTTACATTTAACAATAATTTTATTTAAATAAAATATGATTACATAGTTTACATCATTAAATTAAATATAAATAATTAATAAATTACGTTTTAAATAAAAAATAAACAATTTAGTTATGTAAGTCTGCTAAAGAAAATTCAATTCGCTTTACAAGAAAAAAAAAAAATAATAATAATATATGATGTAAAAGAAATTTTATTAAAAAAAAAAAAGAAAAAAAAATTTTTTTCTTTCTTATTATTATTATTATTATAAGGGAAAATTTCAATCAAAACTGTTTTCTTCACTTAATTTTACGATATTATACTTTATTCATCAAATTACGGAAAAAAACCACAAAAAATAAATGTTACTAAAGAAAATACAGTTTCCCCGCCCTCCTCCCCGCAGGCTAAAAATTTTTCTCGGTTTTTTTTTCTCTTTGGTTTATGGAAAAAAAAAAAAAATATTTTTTTGGAATATTTAATAATTTATGTTTATATATTTTTTCTTTTTTTATAGCCAAATGGACTTCTTTACGAAAGCTTTAGTGTATTTTGTCCAGAATCAAGATTAGAATTGTTATCCTTGCTCGTGAATGAAGATGTTCTATTAGATTGGACTAAACCTCTTTATCTCAATTTCACTCATATAAGGATAACGGATTGGCTGGAATCATTTTATGAAAATATTGGAACTGTAGAAAAAGTTGCGGGAGATGTATACCTGTGCGATAATCCAAAAGGAGAAATCCCTATTGAAAAGTTAGTAGTAAAAATACTCTTCACATAATCCACTTTTTGGACTCGGATATTAATACTGTATGTTTTGAACGGCGAAATATGAATCATATAAAGATATAGGTAGGCTTCGATTTTAATTTTTAAAATTAAAAACCCCCCTTCGCATTAATTAAAAGTTCATATAATCTGTATAAATACATAAATATACAAAAAACGGTACATGGTTTAAATAAATAATAATAAAGTACTGACAATAGCAACAAAACAAAAAAAAAAACAATAAAAGAAAACAAAAAAAATTATAAACTAATATTTTTTTAAAATTCTATTTCAAATAAAAACTAATTTAGCACCAACGAAGGAATAGAAATCAAACAGTTAAAACTAGAAGATGTTGGAACCATACATGATTTGTATCCAGCTAACGATATGGAAGCTATTGGAGTGTTTGAAAAACTAATTTTACGTCTTCCAGCATACGGTAAGGTGATAATAATAATAATAATTTGAAAAAAGTAAAACAATTTCTTAATCAATAAAATTCCCAAGCCAAGTTTTCATTTGTTCTTCTTTAAAAAAAAAAAATCATATTATTGTAATTTAGGAGTATTTTGCTCTGGAGAACTTGCTGCCTGGATGGTCCAATCATATTACGGTGCCATGTTCTCAATGCAAACTCGTCCAGAGTTTCGCAGGAGAGGATACGGAATTCTTCTTGCTTCCAAACTTATGAATTTAGTTATTGAAAGAGGATATTTACCGTACGTAGTAATACGACCTGAAAATGATGCTTCTAAATCGCTATACACTAAATTAGGTTTTCGAAAAGTTTATCAAACTGCTCGAATAGTTTTTAAGCCTTACGAATCTGACAAAAAAACCTGAAAGTTGAAAATTTTTTCTTTACATTTTTTTATTCACACCATTTATTATTTGCTTTTACAGTAACTTATAGTAATTTCAAAAGCAAATTAAAAACACAAAAAAAATATTTTATTCTTTTTTTTAATTACACCATTTGCTTATATTTTTTGCTGTTACCACAAAATCTCTTTACATATATTTATATTTATTATATTTATTTCAATTCAATTTTTTTAATATTACAAAATGAATCCCGTTAATATTTTCTTTTTATACTTTTAAAAAAAATTTACTTATGTTTTTTTTAAATTTGACAAAATACTTAGAAATTTGTTTATAGACTTAAAAATTTATTTTTATATACAAACCAATTTTTAACATTTACCAGTAAAAAAAAAAAAAAAAAAAAAATTCGTTTTAATTAAGAATGAAAAATTTTTATATAATAATAATCATAGTTTTCCCAACAAAAAAAAAAAAAATTCAATTAAATTATTTGATACATTTTAATTAATAGATTTCTTCCCTTTTTTTATTTATTTATTTAATGTTATATATTAAACATAACATTATGGTATAAAATTTTATACTGTAATTTTTTTATAAGTTATGATATTTTATTGTATCTAACAAAAATACCTTAATTACACCATTATTATTAAACAATTTTATAAAAAATTACACATTTTATTATTTCATTATATTTTTTTTTAAAATCTTTTTTATTCCTTGTTAAGCAAAAAAAATTTAATTTTAATAAATAATTACTCAATTCAAACTCACTGATTTTATAAAATTCCCAAATCATTTTTTAAATTAAATAAAAATTTATTAATATTTTTAATTTAAAAGCTTTTTCTTTGGCTTTTGCTTTAATCTAAATTAGCATTTTTAAAAGCATTACAAATGGCTTAAAATATATATATATATATATTTTTAAAATAACATTTTTATACATACTTAAAACAGATTGATAAAGTTGAAAATATTCGACTACAAGACATACTTGTTGTCAATTCTTCAAATTTTCATTTTGAAAATAATAATAATAATCAGTATATGAAGACACCATCATTAATAAAAACATTTATAGGATTTAAAAAATGTTAAAATTTTTACTCATCATTTGATCAAAACTGCATAATTTTCAAAACCTAAGTTAAATTAAACTTAAAGTTAATGTAACAAAAAATAAATATATTAAATTAACTTACGATATAAATTAAAGAAAAAAAATAGTTTTAAAATTTTTTAAAATAAAATTTAAAACAACATTTCATAAATCCCAATAAATCTAAATAAATATTCAAATAAATAAATTAAATTTTAAAATAAAAATAACGAGAATTCGAAAAAAGAAATAAAGCAAATGATTTCGCAAAGTCATACTATTAAGGAGACTTATTCTTAACTACGCTGGGCAAATAATTTTTACTCCATAAATTTTATTAAATAAATTAATAAATACATTCACAATTATATTAATGATTGTTTATTAATCAAATAAATAATTCATACTATTAATTTATAAAATTTTTAAGTCAAGTACAATACAACCTGTGAAAAATTTAAGCTCTAAAATTAAAGGTTTTATATACATATATATTGTGAATATAATTTATTTTAATAAAATTTAAAGATATAAAATAAATATATGAAAACTAAAACCTGTTCAAAATAAAATTTAACGACGTAAAAAAAAAAAAAAAAATTAAATATATCTAAATTGATTGTACTTATCAATCCCAATTTGATTTTCGTTTGTAATAATTTTCTGTTCCATCTGCATTCACTCCTGGATAATAACCAAGACCTTCATATTTGTAACGCATATACATTATGTAACCGACACAAATTCCAAAAGCCGATGCACCTAAACCCATTATAAATTTATTCTGAATGAAAAAAGCAAGCTAAATTTTAGATTTTTAAATATAATTTTAAAGAATTTTAATATAGAAAAACTTACGGGTGCAACGTAAAGCTCAAAATTTAAGGCGCGGAATAAACTACTAGTTTTCAATGATTTAATGCCCTCACCGGGTTTCGAACTATTATTTTTATTCATATTTATTAATTTAATAAGTTTTCGTCGCTATATTATTGACATATTAATGAAATCAAATAAAAAAATTAAATTTGATTAATAAAATGAACCGTAAGTCAAAAAAACTAAAAGTAGACTAAACAGCAAATCAAAATTAAGCATAGACCAAAATTTCATAAAACATAACCGAAATTATTTGAAAAAATTGAGTACATTTGGTAAACTCTATGAACTTATGAACTTTCAAAGTATTTCAGCCGTTGACGTGTATTATCAAAATTTTTTTATCCTTATTATTGCAAAATGTCAAAATGACAGCCTTGATTAGTTTCCTTTGTATTTTTTAAAAATAATTAACAATTTTTTTAAGAATCTATTTCTTTATTTTGTTTTATTATGTCTTTGACAACAAATTTAATTGAATAACCGGGTTAAAAAATGGTAAGTATTTACTTTGTATAGAAAGGTATTTTTGAAAAAATAACCGTAAATTCTTAAGTTATTTATAATTAAATTTTTTAATTATTTATATTTTAAATTATTAAAGTACTAATATTTATTATTTATTTTCAGATATTTTAAAACTAAATTTTTAACTTGTAATTGATAATAATGGCACAAAAACACAAAAAAAATAATTCTAAAGAATCGTAAGTAAAGATCATTGAACTTTATTAACATAAATGATTAAAAAATCATAGACATAAATTAATTACAAAAAACTGCTTAAAATATTTTCAAAAAAAAAAAAAAAAATGTTTTCATAATTTATTTTTTAGGAACACCAATGGGTGGTGGCATTTTTTTGTTATTATTACTTTAACAATTTTAACTAGATTTTATAAAGTTGCTGAGCCAGACCATGTTTGTTGGGATGAAACACATTTTGGAAAAATGGGGAGTTGGTACATAAACAGGACATTTTTTTTTGATGTACATCCCCCATTGGGAAAAATGTTAATTGCTTTGTCAGGATATTTAACTGGTTATGATGGAACATTTCCTTTTGAAAAACCAGGAGATAAATATGAAAATATTAATTATTTTGGAATGAGAATGGTGAGTCTGTATTATTCTTACCTTCGTAGTGTAAAATTTTCAATTTTGCTAAAAGCTAAATTTATTTTTTATTTTTTGTTAACTGTCTTAGTTTTGCACAATGATGGGAGCTTCAATTGTTCCTTTTTCATTTATTACTGTTTGGGAGCTTACAAAGTCCAAAATGAGTGCTTTTCTAAGTGCCTCTTTTATATTATTAGGTAAGTTGCAAATGATTTTTCAATTTTGAAGAATTATGTTTTTAAAAACAATTAAATTTAACTTAATTTTAGATGTTGGTATGGTGACTCTTACTCAATACATTTTGTTAGATCCTATTCTATTATTTTTTGTTAGTGGATCTGTCATGGGAATGGTTAAAGTTAAAGGAAATCAAAAAAAATCCTTTTCTTTAAAATGGTGGCTTTGGTTAATATTTACTGGAATTATGCTAGCAGGAGCAGTCAGTGTAAAGTTTGTTGGTTTATTTGTTATTTTACTTGTTGGAATTTTTACAGTTGTTGAGTTGTGGGAAATTTTTGGAGATTTATCTTTACCTGTGGTAAGTTGTTTAAAATCATAATCATAAAAATAATTAGTTTAATGCAGTAGTTATTGTAATTTAACCTTTTTATCAACTATTTTTTTTATAAAACTTTAAATTTTAATTGTAAGTATTTAAGATGCAATGGCAATGACTATAATTTTCACTATTCTTTTTTCAGATTTTTACTGTTAAACATTTCATTGCTAGAACTCTATGTCTTATAATTTTGCCAATCCTCCTCTATGTTTCGTACTTTTACATTCACTTAGTGGTGCTCAATAAAAGTGGAAATGGAGATGGATTTTATTCGTCTGCATTTCAATCCAAACTTATAGGTAATTCATTATATAATACAAGTATGCC